TTCATCAACATATTTGGAAATTCCCAACGAACTATCCTCAATACCTAGTGCAAATCACTCAAATTCCCTTTTCCAACAATCTGAAATAACTAAATGACGAGTGGGGAAGCAAATCAATCTCTACAAATTTAAATGTTTATCAATAAATAAAGAAGTACGTAGTGCAACAATATATGCAGATATAATTTAAGCTATTAAAAAGGAAAGAATATACCTCAATAATAAGTCTGTAGCTTAATTTGTAAGATGCGTTAATATAGCCGTCACCTTAACTTTAGCTGAAGCTGAAGAGTTGGGAAGGGAATCAAGCTCTCCAAATTTATCAATAAGAAGAGAACTAGTGCAACAATATAAGCAGATATATTATAATTTAAGCTATTAAAAAGAAAAGAAATATACCTCAATAATAAGTCTGTAGGTTCATTCCAGATTTCAGTCAGGTAAAAATTGGCTTTGGTGGTTATAGCTGATGAATATGTGTAAGAAAAGTTAGCTTCCAACAATTAGAAGAAGAAGAAGAAGAAGAAGAAGAGGCTATCCTTGTTTGTCTCTACATCAGAGTGTGAGTTTGAGTGTAGGTTTTTACCTCATCATCATCCATTTGGACGAGAGGGATGGTACGGGTGAGAGACCAATATTCTCGTTTCTCCTCAAAGCATTGTCGTTTTAGAAGCGGACACTTAGAGATGCAGAGAGATACAAGCGACGGAGGCAGGCCTTCCCTCGGCAAGGACCGTAGCTTTGGGCAGTCACAAATCTCTAAATATCGAAGAGAGTTGAGGTTTTGGAGGAGCCCTCTGGGTATGGATTTCAGATTCTTTGCATTTACTATCCAGAGAAATATTAAAGAAGGAGGAAGCACAATATCCGGAGGAGGACAAGTGTTAGAAATGCCAACGTTTTGAAGAGAGATAAGATTGCGGAGGCCCCGTTCCACTGTCGGCTGCTTCAGATGCTCACCGTCTAAGTAAAGATCTGTTAAGTTTGGGGGAAAACCCCCATCTGGAATGCGCTCCAACCCTGGCCAACCTATAATTGTTAAAGACCTAAGATTGGGCAAGGAAAGGCCTATTTTTGGGAAGAATTCTAAAACTGCACACCTTACAATATTCAAATCACGAAGATTGCTGAGGCCATCAAGTGATAAGCTTCTCAATACTTCACAATCCCCAATTCGAAGGGATTCAAGTTCCGTACAATGTTGCAGCATCCTCTCTGGAAATGATTCCAACCTCTTCCAATCTTCAACAGTAAATTCCTTGAGAGAAGCTGGCAGATGACCACTCCCAACAGAATTTAGAGATGGAAGTTGCTCTATTGTCAAAGATTCAAGATTGCTATTGCTGTCACCATTATCTTGCAATAATACTCCATCTGGTAAAGACTCAAAATTGACACATCCATTAATTGTCAAGTGTTTAACCATGGTGGTGGTGGGTAAAGACTTGAGAGAATCACAATTGTAGATGCTTAATGATTCAAGTCTCAACATGTTGTTGCTGCTACTGCTTCCATCTACCTTCATCATCATTGCATCAGTTAATGACTCTAAAGCCTTGCACCTTGAAAGTGTGAGATGTTTAAGATTGGAAGGAAGCAGGCCATGTTCTTTCCCCGTCAATGAAACAAGAAGAGGACAGCTCTCAATGTTCATTTTCTCAAGATGAGCAAGGTTTTCTATCTTGGCACCTTCCTCCCATAAACAAGTAAGCTCGAGGCATTTTTTAATCTTCACCTTCTCAACTACTATCAAGGACTCAATAAAACTCCTAGCCAAGCAAACAAGTCCTGAAATTCTCTCAATTTCCAAGCTAGTAAGAGAGACGAGATCAACCAAGCTATTCAAAACGGCCACATTGCAGTCTTCAATATTCAGCTTTTGTAGTGACTGAAGACTCATAGATGATGGGCATCTTAACTCTAGGCATCTTCTGATCACAAGATTAATAACATCAGCCAACTGACTGGGTAATTGTCCTATCAACTTAGGACAATTTTCAATCACAAGCTCACGAAGGCATGAGAATCCCACTCCATCTCCTGTTGTAGAAGTCCATTCTTCCCACACTAACATGTCACGAAACTCCAACTTCTCAAGACATTGAAAAGTGCCATGCCCATAAAACTTAGAATCCACCGTTTCTATTGCATCCATGCCTTCCACAATCAATTCTTTGAGTGTTGGTAATTGCCCCAATGATGGTAATGAAGTGCTTCGTCTACATTGGCATAGCTTCAAGTATGATAAATTAGAAAATGACGGACAACTAATCCAGGACGGGAATTCCTTGCCACCATAGCAAATAATTGAGAGACTTTTCAATTTTAGATGTGGTTTTAACCAGCTAAGGACCTCCATTACCTTGTCTTCATTCCTAGAATTGCCAAATTCAGAAGTCCATTGCAAGAGCAACCAATCAAGACCATCAATCTTGTCCAAGCTGGCCTTCTTAGCATCATGAGCATGTGAAACGTTATGCAAATCTAGAATAGATAGTTCCCCTTTAAGTTGAGAAAAGTTCTACAAATTAGATAATTTCAGGGATCCATTTTCCTTCCCCACAATAAATTTGCCCAATGTCAAAAGATGTTTGAGGTTAGCTAATCCAAATGGCATCTCTTTTAGGGAATTTGTTTCCCTAATATCCAGATGACGGAGGCTAACTAAGTTCCCAATTTTCACAGGAAACTTTGAAAATTTCCTGCAGGAGAATAAGGACAGTGTCTGCAATTAGAGAAGGGAGCCTATGGATTCGGGCAAGCTTTTGATCTCATTTCCTGAGAAATTAAGGTACTTCAAGTATTTTAAATCTCCCATTGAATTCGGTAGCACTCTTATTTTATAACTGTTAAGAGATAATACCCTTAAGGATCTTAATTTTGGTATCCAATCAAGCACCACTGTCTTTGCTAAATGATTCCCAACAAAATAAGAATTAGTTGGAATGAACATCCGCAAACTCTTCATTTCATTCAAAATTTCAAATCTCTTAGAGATGTCATAATAGCGAGGGCAGAATGACAAATAACGGACCTTTCCAAAATTCACTTCAAATTTTTTATTAACCTCAGACATATCCTCTAGATCTAGATTGTAGCAAGTTCTTCCAGCAACAAATTCAGCCAAATCATGTATGAGGTCATGCATTACATACCGTAATTTATTCTTGGTGGACTGTTGGAAAAATGATCTTGAAAGTAACTCAAGAAAATATCTTTGACCAATTTCTTCCAGCTGATTTTCCTCTCTTAGTAGCCCTTCTGCCATCCATAACAAAACTAACTCCTCCTTGTCAAATTCGTAGTCCTTAGGAAACACAGCACAATATGAAAAACATTGCTTCAAATGAGAAGGTAGATGATGGTAGCTCAGCATCAAGGATGGCAGAATCTCGCTTTTGACCTCCTGCAAATTCAACATCTTATTTAATATGAATTTCCAATCTTCAAAGCCATGCTTACGTCGTAAGAGACCCCCAAGGACTTTTGCAACCAACGGTGATCCATTACATCTCTTGACAATTTCTTCCCCAACCTCTTTTAAACATGGATGTGCATCAAAGTTATCTTCTCCCAGTGCATGTCGAGCAAAAATTGACAAGCATTGTTTGTAGTCTAACTCTTTTAGATAGTGAATCCTGTCATTCCCACCCATGATTTCTGCAACACGCTTGCTACGAGTTGTTACTACTATTTTGCTTCCAGCTGATCCTGATTGGAAAGGTTTTTGCAAGGTATCCCATTGCCTGTAACCCTCATTCCAAACATCATCTAAAACAAGTAGAAACTTCTTGCTTGATAACTTTTCCTTCAATTCTTCTTGAAGCAAATTCAAATCTCTCAAATCATGCTGGACTCTAGATACTGCCTCCAAAATGGATCTTGTAATGCCTAACACATCAAATCGGTCAGAGACACAAACCCATGCCTTAAGCTCAAAGCTTCCCTGCCCCACTTCATTGTAAACATTTTGAGCCGAAGTGGTCTTGCCTATTCCTCCCATCCCAACAATAGGAATTACAGAATATCCTTGGGAACTGCTTTCATTATTTAGTAACTTTTGAAGAACAGCTACTTTATCAGTTTCTCGTCCATAAACATGAGAGTCGGGTAGGGAACTAGTGGGCACCCTCGCAACATCTACTTTATCTGGCCGTTCTCCAGCTTGCATGGTTAAACTTAGTAAGCCGAGTATGTTTGATCCTTCTGTCATGCTTAGCAACCTATTAGAAATAGCCTTCACCTTAGAAATGGTGTTGGAATCAAACATGGAATCACTATGTTTGAAATAAGAGAAGCACGCAGGGATGCATCTACTGGTAGTGCTGGCACATTGAGGTTCTGCAATCACGCTACTCCTCAAGCCATTACTTGTGAATTCCTCCAGAATGTCTTCCATATCATAAGCTAAGTCCTTGAGGTCATCAAGCCATGTCTTAATGGAATTGACAGCCCTTTGCTTTTCTTCTGCATCTATGAGCACATCCCGAATATGTGGTAAAAAGGACTTCCATTTTTGGAGCTCCACGTGGACCTCCTCTTGTAACCTATGGGATCTACTGGAAGTGAAACTATCCACCTTTTGGAGCAGCCACTCAAAAGAAGCTGACAAATATCAGTGCATACCCCTTTGAAAAGAACTCATGTCAACATTTTAGAGAAACAGACATTCAGTCTTTCACCAAGCGATCCAAACTAAAACACACAATTCAGTCACCTGCAAGAAACAAAATCCACAATCATCATCAGAAATTGCGAAATATTTTACATGATGCTGAAACTGCCCCCTTTTTTTTTTTCCTTCTGTTGTTTTATACTTTCTTGGATCTTAATCCCAAGTAAAATATGTGACTTTTAAGCTTAAAAAATCCAGAGTAGACTCTTAACATCAAATTACACTGACAGCACAATTGCATTGGTCATTTCACTTATATAGAGACCTCATACAAATCATCAATTACTGAATAAAACTCTAAACATATTCAAGGCCAACGAAATGTTATTCATCTCTCCCAACAGATAGCCATGGAAGCTGCAAGAAACCAGCTTTACTTCTTTTAAGAATGCACAAGCAATGTTATTATACATCCATCTATTTTTCTAGCCACCAAACGACAAACCCATTTAACACAATGTTTTTGCTTTGTAAAGCATTTTTTCGCAAATTGCCTTCGCAACCAACCACCACATGGAATCAAAAATAAAAGGTTAAATGCTTAATTTGGTCCCTCAACTTCAAGAAATGAACATTTTTGGTCCCTAAACAATTTTTTGCACTTTTTTGATCCCTCAACTATACGAAATGCACTCCGTTAGTCCTTCTGTTAATTTGGGTCGTTAACCTTGCTTATGTGGCATTTTTTATATTTTTTTTGATGACATGGAGAGCAAAATTTAAAAAAGTGATGACATGGATAAAATTTTTGCCATGTCAGATGCTATCTGGCGAAAACACACTAAATCCATGTAAGTGGGTCCCACATCACCACTAACAATTGCTTCTTTGCCCATCGATTATGAAATTCGACGGAACCAGCAAATCTGA